TGAAGTGTAGAGGAACCACGCAGCTAGTATTACAACTCAGTTATTCTCTCTCATTAACTGCTTACTGATGATTCACTTAAGTGGAAAATAGCATGACAATCAGCCCGGACATTTCCGCGGTTTCAATGCAGTTTTGTATAATTAGATTATGTGGCAATCTGGTGCACCTCTGTGCAGCTGTGTTACATTTATAGTGATCCAGCAACTGATTTGTAGCTGTTTTGAAGGTGAGAGATAAGCGTTGCCATTATTTGTCATTGTTTTTGTCTGACGACAAAGCTGAATGTGTGCAAACACATACGGACACATCCATGTAAGTGCAAAGAAAACGGCGTAATACACTTTGACAAACACTGTGTGATTTCATTTTACAACCGCATTAACAATAGTCACACCTTTTAGCAGTCACAGCGTTTTCCAGAAAGGACACAATTTCCAGCACAGAAAGGGTTTGTGGAACAGCTTTTTGAGTTTAGCCTGTCTCAGCAGTGTGAAATCGCACTTTCATTGCGGGTTCTCACTTCCATTCGTGTGTGAACGTGCGCATACTTGTGTGTGAGTGTGTGTGCGCGTATATGTGCTCATTTGAAGGGAAAAAAAAGGGGGGGAGCGCTAGGCTTTCTTTGGATAAACAATCTGAGGCAGCATCTCTTATGCTAATGCCATAGCCTGCACATTCCTCATTGCATTTACATTCTCCATCCTCATGCAACTGATGCAACAGACAGCAGAGCTCCACCAGCAGAAACCCGAGTTACAGAGAGCTCAGCCCCGCTAACACACAATGTGTTACCCACCAGCGCTGCGCCTAAGCCTCTACTGATACCCACGGGAGAATCTGACACACTTCATATTACAACAAAGGTTCACCCTCCATCACCATCCTCTCTGCCAGAGCAGCGCAGAGTTCCCCTGACACCAGAGGAGTTTACGCCTTCAGAAACAATCCCCGAACACTCGCATCTGTCGCATCTAGTCCTGAAGAACTCTGCACATGGCTCAGCGGTCGATCAACATCATCGCCACCACCGACAAAAAATCACAGAGGAGCCCGATGTCCATCTGCTGACACACCATCACACGAGCTGTGTTAAAACTGGGGATAAATGCTCAGAGCTAAGGCACAGTAAGACATAGATAGCAGTAGATACAGAGTAGAATGGAGGCTCACAGAAATGAGAGAAATCTAATTTAGAATGAGATCGTTTTACAGCCAGCGTGATGGGGTTTACAGGGTGTCAAAGTCTTTTAAAATGGGCAATTTTCAGGCTAACATGCTTTTATACACAAGCTACCATCACTTTAACGTGGCTCACCATTATATCATATGTCTGAAGCCTTGCTCAGTTTAGGTGCTGACAGTGAAATCCACTTAATGTGGGTGAATGAGCGTGTGAGAGGCTACAAAAAGAAACAGAAAGTTGGATTAGTTCAGCCGACATCGTCTTTGCATCATTTAAAGTCACAGAGAGAACCGCAGAGCATCAGAGGATCAGAGACTGAGCCCAAATTTATGTGAACTCACTGCAGCACATTTTTCTTTAAAAAGACTGCCGGAAGCATTGTGCGTAGTGCCGAGATGAAAACGATCCCGTGTCGTTTGGGGTCATTTTCTGCTGGTTTTGGCACAGCGTCAACCTGCCGGTGAGGAAGCAAATGAAGAGCTCCATCACTGTCATGGTTTACTAAGCCCAACTGACTCTTACACATGCCCTTCTTTCAGTCAGCGCGGAGCAAAGGGGGAACACCGAAGGCTCCGGCTGCCAGCGTCTCCTGTCAGATGGTTCGAGCTGAGCTGATTGAGATTAATGCCAAGAATGGTTCGGATCACTCCTAGCCCCCCCCAAGGCTGCGCGGGTTACTGAGATTAAATGCGTTTATGCTCACCGCTGTGCTACATCAGCCAGTTGAAACAACTGTGATTCAGAATCCTGCTTTCCCACAAGAGAGTTCATCAGCCGGTGTGTGCGCTCGCTCTCACTCACTCACACAGCTGTGACAGATGTGGGGCCAGAGTAGGACATGAGTAGAGGTAGGCAGGGGTTACTATGATGAGATGTAATGATGGCGCAGTGCCAGTTGTGTGAAACGGTCCCGGGTGCTCTGAGAACAGCTGCTGGCGTCCTGTCTCCCTGGAGGCCCTGGGAGAGGGAGGGATAAAGAGGAGGAGCGATGTGGGCGGGAGATTGCCTGAAGGGGGATGCTCCGCAGGGGAGCGGGGGACGCTTGCAGGATGCCCCTCTCTCTGGGCAAGAACAACTGGAGACGTACATTGCTTGCACGAAAAACACCTCAAGGGGGGAAACACAGATGGAGGCATGCAGGAGAACTGTATTCTCTAGCGGTCTAGTGATCATTAGTCCCTCAATGACGTGCACGGTGTGGTCACATTATGGGATTGGCTATCTGTATTTTTAACCATATCTGGTGTGAATTTTTTAAAAATTATAATTTCTTTTTAATTTATTGAACTGTGCCGCTCTGTGGTGCAGTTAACGGAAAAGGTGTAAGCTGGAGGAGGTTTGATCCACAAACTGAACTAGTTTTACATCTCTCTTCTCTAGCCCTAAAAACTTGAAGCAAAGGATTCTGGGTATGGCATAAAGCCCTCTGGGAAAGCGGAATATACAAAGGAAAATGCTCGAAAAAGGAAAAGCAGGAGCGAGTGACAATTATAAATGCAGCAAAAGTGAAATGTGTCTCTGGTATTGATTTGAGATGTTTTGTGTGAATGTGGCAACAGAGAGCACGTTAAATCTAAAAACCGAGGAAATCCACCCATAAGAAGAATTTGCTCAGATATCCATAGCATCTCATGAATATTCATAGTTCTGGTTTAATATGATAAAAAGACAACAAGAGCAGAGGTGGATCATCCTCCTCCATTATGCGAGGGAACAAAGTGAACGAGTGCAAAAGCAGTCAGAACATTTCATGACATTCAGATAAAAGGAAGTGCATGTCATTTCTTTCACACCCAGAGTGAAAATGTAGTGATGAAGGAGTTTCTCAAGCCTCTCTGACTCTCACAGCTTTTTCCCAAGCCCAGGGCTGAGGCCCCTGATGGGCCAATCCGCTATCTGACAGAGAGAAAGGCAGAGAAGAGGAAAACAAGGTCTCGGAGGAAGAGGGGAATGCAGGCAGACGATATCAGAAATCTTTACCCACTGCAGTATCAGCCTAATTATAAAGCTCTTATTGTTCAGGTTGTCGAGGATAGGTGCCTGTAAAATTGCTTAACAAGAATGGGCATCCTGTGAGGTAACTGTGTTTGCGGCGTGCCAGTCTCCCACAAGTCTTTCCATGAGACACAAACGTCCTCTGAGCATGGGCAGAAAAGGGAGGAAGAGGAGGAGGAAACAGAGAGAATATTTGAAAAGACGGGTATTTCTTTAACTAAGTGGAGTAGATTACTCGATTTCTCTGAGTGTTCGGTTTTGTGATAGAAATGTGACAGCTCATGATTCTTAACTGAAGCAGAAATATATCTAAATGTCGCTTCTCGCTGACAGGCTGTCATTAAGCTTATCCAAAATGTTGGCTCCAGTACATTTATTTGGTTTTAGGCTTAAAAAGAAACACAATTTAAACCCAAATGCATTATGCAATTAAACAGATTAACTAGCGCTAGCTTAAATTTGCTCAAATAATTCAAATACTGTAATGTACTTTCGAGTTATATAAATAAAACTGAATTTAATTGAACATGTTTGTTACATTATGTTTAGATTTAGGTTGCATTTGATTTAATATAGAAGGCTGATTCAATAAAAAGTAATGTTGGTAGGTTTCTGACGATTATTGTGTGAAACTCTTTCAATCAGCTAAAAAAATACCTGCACACCAGCATAGACGACAGGTGCATTGGCGGAAAACTTCTGCAACATGTTAATTAAAACTCAGTAGGAAGTCACTTTTTGAACGAGTTCGTAGGTCATTTGTACTACTTGATATTTGTATTTCATCTTCATCGGTTTATATATTTGAATATGTGGGGAAAACTGTGTAAATTTGTGAAAGATCTTTGCCATGGTGTTGTTTCTAAGGAGTATAGGCTATTTTGGTGATATTTTCTCCTGTGCAGGCGAGAAAAGGGTTGGATAGATGTTATTTATGGTTAGCTTCAGTCTAATGCTTTGGGTTTTTTTTAATAATAATCTGATTAATGGCACATACATGTGAAATGTGCTAATCACACTTTAAGTTCTGACTGGATGATTGAAACATTTCAGGAGGATGTGCGTGCGTGTGTGTGTGTGTGTGTGTGTGTGTGTGTGTGTGTGTGTGTGTGTGCGTGTGTGTGTGTGTGTGTGCGTGTGTGTGTGTGTGTGTGAAAGTATGGACATTAACTATATACCTGATAAAGGTCAACCAGACAAAAACCTTGTGTGTGGTAGTTATATTTAAATTATAAAAGAAAGTCGTTAAAATGAACATTTAAGTAGCTTTGTTGGATTTCTCAAAAGTGAAATATAGATTAGGTTTCACAGATTGATAAGATAAGACTGTGTTTTTATTAGGTCCTGTGGACTTAATCCCATTGGAAAAGTAAATGAAAACTAACCCAGGCTGATTTTACACTGGGACAGTTCAAAAGATGGACATAGTTAGGAAGACGTCACTCTATTTATTTGTGTCCCATTTTGAAGATTTTTCTTGTGGTCGATAACTTGACGTTTTGACACCATTCTTGTGTTGGCTTCACTTTCCAGACCAGAAAGCTATATTTCCTTTTATATAATCTGTAACCCAACCGGTAATCCAACCAACCAAATCCAGAAGATTACTTTTAAGTTCATCAGGTGGAATTAAATGAGGGCAATCAGATGCCTTCATTTCTTCTTTTAGTTCTTTCATCTTTTAAGAGGCAACAGAGAAACAGGCTGAATCAAGATGTGACTCTTTATGTATGTTAATTTGATAATTTGGAATAGATCAAAATAATAACTACATCTTGCATTGTTGCTTTTTCTGCAAATAAATATTTTGGATTATGTCAGAAACCCACAAGTCAGAGGAACAGCTGCATGAGACTCCTGGCCACAAAGCTACATCTTTGTTTGAGCACGGGGAGAAAATGGAGGAGCATTCAGGAGGAGAAACTGAAAGAAAAGGTATCCCTTGTGTATGAAGTGTAGCGACTGTAGTTAGTAGCTCAGTGTAGTTAGTGGTGTGCATGGTAAGTAGATTGCACTTGTAACTTAAAGCAAAAAACAAAAACTGTAAACAGTAGAACTGTATTTAAATTTTTGTTTCTTATGTTAATCGTGGTTGTGATGTGTTAAGTCTCCCACGAGTCTGAAAAACATTCACATGAGATTCGTGGCCACAAAACTACTTCCTCGTCTGAACACGGAGCAGGAAGGGAGGAGGAAGATGAGGAAGAAGAAAGAAAATCCAAAGAGACAGGTATCTAGTGTTGGAAAGTACGAAAATCTACAGCATATGTAGATTTATGTACCTTACTTTACTTGTTGTGCAGATGTGCTGTAGACTTAAATTAAACTTGGCAATCCCTAGGTCCCCTAATACATTGGAAACGACAGAGTATTTATCATAAATTCTCCTCATTATTTCAATCACAGCTGTGGCGTTTCAGACCACCACCAGTCTTAGGGACACATACATGAAAGCCAGAGCTGTAGTTAAAGTGTATAACAGTAGTAGCGTTCGCCATGTGTTACACATCTTCCCGTTAAGTTGATAAAAATATGTGGTGTTTCAGTCTCTCACAAGTCTGAGGAGCTCGTACAGGAAACTCACGGACACGCATCCACAACCCAATCTCAGCACGGGGAAGAGAAGCATGCAGAAAGCAAAGGTACTGCGTTTTGTGCACAGTGGTCCAAATGATGTCATAGTGTTCAGAATCCAATTTGGTGTGCACACAGGGTTTCTATACATTTAATGGAGATCATAAACAGAAGACTTTTAGCTTCTTTTAAGCAACTTTTACAGTTAAATGCTAACATGTTATAGAGGTTTTTGAGGGATGTGATTTGTGAATAAAAGCTGTGGTATGACAGTTCCCCACGCATTTGAGGAACACGACGCTCACGGCCACAAAACAACAGCGTCATCTGAGCACGGTGAAAATTCACATGAGGTGGTGCATCGAGAACGAGGAGAAGAACGGAAAGGTGACAGTTCTATATGCACTGTAGTGGCAACTCTGTAGCTAACTGTAGTAAACTTGTAGTGTCCTGATGCAAAACCGCAGAGATGCATTTTTATTTTTATTTTTAAACACACATTCATGACTGTCTTGTGACAGTTTCCCACATGTTTGAGGGGCACACACGTGAGACTCACGGCCACAAAACAACAACCTCACCTGAGCATGGCGACGGGCATGAAGAAAGAAAAGCTGAAGAGAAAGGTATACAAATGCACTCTTCCTGCTCATGCTAAACAAATGCACTGTAGAATTATATAGCAGAGGGCATAGGCGAGTAAGGAAATATGCAGGTGATAAATGAAAACACGATTTATTTACTACAGAAGCCAGACATGGAAATGTGTCTCAGTTTTGGCTTGTTATGTCAGTGACAATTGTGGTGTTTCAGCTCCCCACAATTTTGTGGAACACGTACACGAGATTCACAGCCACAAACCAACAACCTCATCTGAGCATGGGGTGGAAAGAAAGGAGGAGGAGGAGAGTGAAAGTAAAGGTATTTTTAGAGCATAGTGGAGACAAAGTCTTTATAGATTTAACATGGGCTTTATTAATAAATAAAGCAGAAGAAATTAATGTTTGCCCAATGAGATTTTTTTCTGGTTCTGGCTGAAAATTGTGTCAGGAGAACACACACACGAGACTCATGGCCACAGAACAACCTCGCATGTGCACGAATGGAGACACGAGGAGAATAAAGTAATACATCCTGAAACAACAGGTACTTTATCTTTTATGTTGTAGTGTCAGGTGAAACACAGCACACAGAAGAAATACAACTTGTTAACAATAATGATTGTGTTGTGTCAGACCCCCACACATTGGAGGGGCATGTACATGGGGCCCACGGTCACACAACAACAACCTCATCTGAGCACAGACAGCAGGAGCATATGGAAAGAAAACCTGAAGGTAAAGGTATTGTTGAAATCTAGTAGTAGCAGGGGTTTTTTTTTTTTGATTGAATATAGCATTTTAGCTTAATTTTAGTACTAGTAGCAGTATTTGTATTTATTTATTATAGTTTTTATTATTCTGAAATCAAACCCAATAGCCCGATCAAGAACCGAAGCTGTTCTGTTCTTCTACTCAAGTCACCTTGAGAATAAATATGGCAACTTGCTTTTTTCTTCTGTTCAAGGCAATTGTGGGTTGCCAGTTCCCGTTAGTATGTTGAGCTCCAATGTGGGACTCATGGTCATAAAACATCACATGGACATGGGGAGGAGGAGCATGTGGGAAGCAAAGCTGAAAGTCTCTCAGTTTAATACACAGTAGTAATAAGTTTCTTTTTAAAATTCAAAAACCTCCTAAAAATTGGGGCCTGGAAGGACTGTATTAAGAAAAATAATTTAAATTTAATGTCTCAGCAGTTAGATTGTGTATTGGTTCATTTAAGATGTAGTGCTAAATTTTAAATATAACAGCATAAAAAAAATACAAAACAAACTAAATTGGCATTTCAGTTTCCCACCATCATGAGGAACACTTGAACAGGACTCGTGGCCATACTTGAGCACGGGCATCAGAAAAGGAGGTGTATCCACTTTACAGTACATTTAGTGGGAACATGTAGGAAGCAAAGCTGAAAGGACTGGCATTTGGGACTGGGAGGATCATATTCAGAACAACAATTTCAATTTGATGTTTCAGCAGCTGGATTCACAGCAATTAGGTTAAGATAATTAAGCTATTCTGCTGAATTTACTATGAATTTATTATACATATTATATATATTATACCAACGTATATTCAGATATAATATATTATCTGAATATTAGAAAAAAAAACATCAGAAATGTTTTCTGATTATATAAATGTGTTTTGTCAGGCCAACACAAGTCTGAGGAACACATACATGAGGCCCAGAGCCACAATATACCATCTGAGCACAGAACAGCTGAAATTACAGGTACCATATGAATAATCTTCTGCTGCATTATATTTTTGCTAAGCAATGGCTAGACTGTTCCCCCAACTTGAAATTCCCAGCTACTATTAATTGTTGTGGTGTTTAAGCCTCCCACAACCCTGATGGACATGTGCATGGAGGACATGTAGAAGAAGCCCATGGCCATAGAGCATCTGAACATGGAGACCACAAGCCTGAGGGACATGTGCATGGTGGACATGTAGAAGAAGCCCATGGCCACAGATCAACATCTGAACATGGACATCACAAGCCTGAGGGACA